AATCTAAACGCCTCTTTTCGACTAAGCCAACCGTAGGTTACACGAAGTTTAGGATTGTGGAGCGACTGACTCGCCGTTTCGACCGATTTCAATATGCTCTGACAAATATAAACAATAATTATATTTTTTAAAATCTTCGTTCTTAGAGTTCTAGAAATCGTATGTCTTAAAGTAATACCTTATGGTATTATATTACAGTATATATATTTTGGAGAACTTTAAAATTATAATTTTATTCGAATAGATGTGTATATTTTAAAATATACCGTTTAAACGTATGTTTAAATAAATAAATGTATATATACAAATGCCAAGAGTATATATATTATGGATACTCTAAGCATGGTTTTTGCAGTTTACTCACCCATATGTCGTAATTTATATTTTCTAAAACAAGCATATTGGTTAATTATAAAGTTTTCATAGAAAATTATTTTGCGCAAATTTTTGGTCTGAAAATTTTAAATTTTCCAGATTTTTTTTCTCTAACGATCGCCGGCAGAATCGAGAATCTTTTAATATTTCATTTTTTTGCAAATCATTGCAGATCTATGTAGAATAATTAGCTCAGGGTGCATTGCATTGGCATTGGTATTCCATGTTACCACCAAATTTAATTCATTAATAACGATAATTTTATTATTGGACAGTTCTAACAGGTTTTTTGCAAATTATCAAATGAAATCACATAATATTGTAAACAATTCGTAATATGTAGTACAATATTGCATCATGACCAGTAAAATTCTATCCTTTAATAGGATACTTATGTATGTAGAGTGTTACCCGAGTCAACTTCTTGACGGGCCCAGACTACCCAATCTAAAATTGGCTTGATTCTGGTCATAGATAAATACCTGATATTGATATCGAGATAAATATGCTTTTGACAAAGTTTTAGAGATCAGATGACTTCATAGACCATACCGATACGTTATGTGTATATCCTTTTATAGGTTAGGCGTACATTTAAAGGTGGCGTTTGATGCATATGAAATCCGGAATTAGGAGGTTTATGAATTAAAAGAAAATGGTGAAGGGCAATCTCAGGTTAATACTGGGCTGAGTAATTATACATTTTACATGTAAATTGTGGTGCGGGAAAAGGATAAATGATAATCAGTTGAGTGGTTTGTTTAAAGTTGATGTATCGTGAAGGTGATTATCTTTCTGTTCGCTCATTTTTTGCTTATAGACTAGACGTCGGTTTAGCGATCAGTCTTCGACTGAAATGATCAAAACCCACATTAACATATTAATTATGGTTTATAGAGATGTTGATTTGAACCTACTCGATCAAACTTGAGCGAGTCACGATCCAAATCTTATCGAGTCGCGACCATATTGTTAATAAGCATTAGTAATCTACAAAGCTTTATGGATGCGCTGACAACACAAGAACCTTTAATAAGCAGGCAAAATTTGCAGCATCAGTGCGATGACCTCATATAACAAATAAACTCATTTTCGACCGATTCTAGCGTTAATCTTTTTTTTTCATATGAACGCATTGACCATGATTATCATGACATCGAAAAAAAGTCTCAGACAATCAGGAAAGTCGACAATCACAAAAAGTATGGCCTAATTCAGTAAATGTGACATGCATTAATGTTTGTACACAAATTTATTAAACGCATGTATAACTATTTGGTTAAGGTTTTTAAAATTTGAGTAAATATAGTAGTTCTGTGTAGGCTGAACTCGAATTATTTTTAGTGGGTGTTGTAACTATCGGGTATCTGATACAGTGAATAGTCGCCAAGTTTTTTTTTTCTTTGAATACAGTTACTTTTTATGGTAATAAAGTCATGGAACGTTCAGAATTTACTTGTTAGCGTTAGCCTTTGTGACAAAGGATAGAAATGTTACTTACTTTGGGACTCTACGTTTATTCCATTGCCACACATGTTCACAATATTGATTGTACAATATCGGGTCTGAATTCGATTTCTTTAAGTTATATGTTGCATCCTTTATTATATTTATATTATTTATTTATGTTTATGTTTATGTTTATTTATATTGCCGTGTAACGGCCGTAATTGTTTTATTGCTTGAATTCTATTCAGGTCATCCTACCTCATAGAACTATAAAAGAAGTCTTTCACTTTAGTTCGTTTCTCCTAATCATTTTAATACCTAAGGCTAAAAACCATCCAAACTAACATAACTAACTATGACACGATTCATTTATTTCCTCACTCTATTCTTGGCCTTTATTGGGTCTACTTTAGCCCGTAAGTTATTAATTTTTCTGTTTAGATGTTATTTAAAACGAGTTTGATAAAACGGTTATATAATTATTATTATAAGTCAAAGAGAGATGTAATTTGGCTTACCTAGCTATTTATTTGAATATGTATTGTTGCTTATTTGAAAAATTTTATGAATTAGATAATTCTGACTATGTATAAGCAAAAAAAAAAAAAAACCCCATCAAAAAAGGGTATAAAAGATGATAATTAATTAAAATTAGATAAATTTTAATTTTAACATTGTATCTATATCTTCAGAGGTTTCATCAATTAACACTCCCGGCGGTAATGTTGCAATTGGTGCCACTATTACACTCACCTGGTCATATACCCCGCAAGCGAACCCACTTCCAGGCACTTTAAGTGTTATCGACAACTTAACTAAGAACACTGTCGTAATTAGTTCTACCATAGTCCTCTCCACTCAATCTTACCAATGGACTGTCAATGTTCCCGCTGGTACTTATTACCTTGCTCTTAATGATGGGTCTGGTGATAAGTATTCTGGAACTTTCACTGTCTTTCAAGCTGGCAGTCCCGCACCTGCTGCTTCTGGCGCCGCACCTGCACCTGCACCTCCAGCGGCATCTGGTGCACCCGCACCTCCAGCAGCATCTGGTGCACCTGCTGCCAGTGCCCCTCCATCCGCACCTGCTGCAACTTCTCCAGCAGCTCAACCTCAACCTCAACCTCAGCCTCAACCTCAACCTCAACCTCAACCACAGCCTCAAGCATCTGCTAAAGCAATTGCAGGCACTCAAAGTTCAGCTCCGTAAGTATTTTACGATTTATGTGCTAGTTTTAAAGCATCTAAGTAATAAATTTTATATTTTTTAGGAAATCAACATCAACATCATCTCCAACAACCAATGCTGCCGCAAGTTTCACTGGATCAAGCATTTCTGGATACAAACTTCTGTTTAGCCTTATTGTAGTAGCAGCAGTAATGGTTCATTTTGCTTAAAATTTATAATCCAAGAAACTCTAATTTTAAAAATTTTTTAACCGATTACATTTCTATTTGCAAAAATGACACATCCTTAAAAATGAATGTTCTTAAGATTATTTGTTACAATATACTCTTATATAATATAATATAATTATTAGAATTTAATGTTTGAGAATAAATGCTACTTTTTTTTTAATTTTTATTAATTAATTAACAAAATTTTCCGCATCATTACTCAATTTATGTTACTTACAATCTCAAATTGGAAAACGAACATAGAGTGTTTTGCAATCGGTATAAATTTTTTAAAAAATAAATATTACAGTGCAATTATTAAAAACTTAAATACTAAATTCACACGTGTGCGTTTTACAATGCCAATCCAAATTTACATACATATGCAGAAGGTTATAGATATATATAATTTAATAATTTGTTAAACATATAAAATGCATTCATATCGTCATCTTAAGTCAGGAACCTGTGAATTTTGGGATTTTCAGTAATTTTAAGGAATATATGCGTAAATACATGTCGTGACTGAAGTTAGCTCCTGAAATTAATTCATCCTGCACGCATTAGGTTGCAATTTTAGGCAGTGTAACTTCTGTTACAACATGCATATAAACTTTTTAAATGTATATTCCTTAGAAACACTCTAAATTGCAAAATCCAGAGATTTCTCTCTTGACTATAATGAAGATATAGTATACCGAACTTCTGGAAAGTTTAATTTAGAATGTTTATTGAATCTTCAAAGATTTGTGTTAAGTCTTACAAAGCTCATTAATTGTTTGTCTAGAAAGAGTCAACAGTATAATTTAGTAGTTTATTTTTTAATTGTGACTTAATTATGATTTGTAACAATCTTCTCAAGATAAGAATGGTTGAACATTTTTCGAATATTACGAATTGACCAATCTATTATGGATTGAATGTTCTTGAATATTTTACGTTAGAAACGTTTTAAATATTATGAACTAATCTTATGAAATTGGTATATAGTACTCCGCTGTGTTTGCTTGCAGTGAAGACCGGGTTTTTTTATAGTTAGGCACCCGTAATGGAAATTTGTATTAATTATTATGTTCTACGTCAATTGTTCCATTCGTTATTTCGCCGATTAAAGAATAACTTGGGTAGTTTTTTTTTTTAATATTATATTATATTTTATGTTCATAAAAAATTTAAGTCGGCTAAATTATCTTTACATTCATAAAATAAAAGACTTTAAAATCCTGCTTTAACATTTATATTGCCTTTAAATTCACCAAACAAAAAATCCAATTTATCTATAATTTTTGATATTTATTATTTTTGTAAATATTTTTTTAGTTCTTTACATAATTTTATATTACTCATTATCATATAAAAAAGTTTAAATCGCAATTTAGCTTCAAATATACTACTTACAATATGTGCCATATACAGTACTATACATATGTACTGTACACGAAAATTTTCGCCGATCCTTTCTACCAGCCAATCAAATCGCTAGATACGCACTGTATGTACTGTATGCGAAAAAAATTCGATATCATATAAATGGCACATCACTAGATATGAGTGTCGCCAAGTGAAACCTAAAAAGTCTAAATATAGATTATAAAATTTATAATGATTTATTTTTAGACCTCTTGGCGGCACTTCAATTTAAAAGATGATGGCGCAAAAATTTGACTGTCCTGTGATTTTTATCCAATCCGATTTTAAGATCAGCGTGTAGCATGCAGTAAAAACTTAAAGCCAAAAAAAGCAAGAATTCACTTTTGTTATTAAATAAAAGATTTCGGCATAAAATTTTAGATAAGTTCTTTCTACTTTACCAGGAACGGAGTTTATGCCTTGTACTAAATCTTGGATCTGATTGGATGTTTAATACTTGTGACTTTGTGTAGCACCCCGAACAATGCTAAAAAAGGAAGCGTATATGTGTATGTGCTTGCATTTCAGGTTTAAAGCCATGCCTTGTTTTATAATTGTTTATTTTGATCTTACTATTGTATACATCACATGTTTTCTATGTAAAAAAAATGTTAACGTTAACGTGCTTAAATTGGATTTGATAAAATATAACAAATGCAAGTTTTTGCTTATACCAGGAACAGTGTCATTATTTTATGGTGAGTAGTGTTACGGCCTAAACCGAAACTTTCGGCCAGGCGAAACTTCCGAAACCTCCGAAACCTAGTTTCGCCCATGGTGCCAAGTCCG